CAAGAGTTGCACGGGCGTGTGAACGTTGATTGCGGCCGTTTCTCCTGGAAGACATTAAGGCTACGGCAAGGCTGCTTTCAGGGGCGTGACTGCTGCGTGCTGTTGTTTGGCTGCATGGCTCTGTGTAGCTAGCCAAGTTCCCGTGACGCAGCTATGCAGGCGAGGCCACGGCAGAAGAAAAACTAGTTTTGTGATGTCGCACATGGCGTCCGGCTGGAGACTTTGTTGCGTGGGTGTGTTATGGTGAAAGTTAAGAGCAGGGAGGGAGAGATGGAAAGAGAACAGAATATGAGAGAAAAACATGGTTGTCTGCAATTGGGTCATGCCGTGCATGTCGACTGTTGCATGGCAAGATAGGCTGGGTGCTAGGGGATTTTAGAAATAAGTGGCAAATAGGTAGAAGAAAATATAAAATTAGGAAAAGAATTGGCATGTGAATCTCAAAGATATTGGACAGAAATTATGACAAAGAATTATCCAACCTTAAAAACCCTTAACCTATTTTTATAATTTTATAAATTCATTTTTCATCACATAAATCAAATTCATTTTTTTTAAATAAAAGCTAGCTAAAATGCTTCGCATCCCAAAATAGAAATTTTGGGGTGTTACATATCGCAAGGTGGTTAGCTTTGTGAAGAGGAACCTTGTGCTGACTCTCTTATGTTCTAACTCAATCAAAAAGAAGAGTTCACTAGCAGTCGTGTCCTCATTATTATCAAATTCTCCCTTTATGCCTTCTGAGATCGAACGCTTGATGATTCTTTTGGCAAACTTATTGTCCTTTTCCCATTTCTCCAACTTGAATTGATACTCATGCATCTTCTCATCATACTTCCCAATGTCGGAAGAGGAAGGAAGTGGCTTGTCCTTATTAAGCACATAATCAAGCTCCAGAGACTTGAGAATGTATTGCACCTTCTCTTTCCATAAAGGAAAGTCAATGCCGTTGAAGGGCTTAATGTTCTTCATGTGACTTTCATCTGAAAAGACATAGCCAAATAAAGATACTTAGTAAATATCTTAGTGTGCTAATAAAATAGCAATAATAACGCAAGAGACGCATTATTTGATCTTAAAATGCGCATGGCAAATGCAACTTATGTATTTTTTATTGATCTTAAGGCATGATGGATGGAAAATTTAGAGGAATAGACTTAAATGTGAAAACTTAAAAATTAGTACAATAAGATGCACTAAAAATAAATCATGAAAAATAACCCTACGGTGGTCTGATTATAATCATGTAATAAGTAACAACTTGCATCACCGGTGGGGAAAACAAGCGAAAACCTTATTAAACTTAAAATTAAAGCGAAAACCTTATCAAACTTAATATTCTCAGCGAAATTTAATTGAATAAATATATCCAAAAATGACATTAAAATGTCATATGGACTTATAAATAATGCCTGAAACATGGTGAGAAAGGTCATTTTATACTTGGCATTAACTTACTAAAATGATTCTTAACCATGTTAGGATCGCAGAGAATAAACTCTTAAACTTAAAATTTGGCTATTTACTTAAATACATAAGAACTCATAATTCTGTGAAAACAGAGGCATTAATAAAACTTATGAAATATGTACATTGTACACATTAAAATTCCCAAAGAATTTTTCTTAATTTAATAGCTAAATTAATCTTAAACTTATGCCTTAAAACATTGGGCTCAATATACTTAATTAAACTTAATATATATACTTAATATGACAGCAGAAGCTTAACAATAGCAAATGAAATATTGCTATTAAATATTCTTGAGAATTTTGCTTAAAATAATTTCCCAACTATTGAATATACTGAAATTACACTCATCTTAAGCTGAAGTATGTAAACTAAAATATTCCGAAGAAATACTTAACTTTCTTAAAATTAAAATACTGAAAATATAAATAAAATGCCGAAATAATTTATCTTAAATTGGAACTTAAATTGGGCAGATTATATACTGAAAACTTAAAGCTTAAGACTTAAAAGAATAAAGCTAAAATAAATAAAGAGGGGGCAGCCCATCTCAATTTCTCGCGCAGCCCAGCTTAAAGTGTGCGCGGTCCAGTGAGAGTCGGCTTCTCCCGTTCGTGGCCCAGCAGAGCCCATGCGCGCGCGCACAGCCCGTCGCACAGGCCGCCTGAAGGTGTTCGGGCCGGAGGCCCAAAAACCATCGAGCAGGCCGCCGAAGCGGCCTGACGCGCACGCCCGCGCGAGGCACATCCGGCCCAGCCCAGCCACGCCTGGAGCGCGAGCCGTCGGATCGAGGCGAGAGGAGATCGGGCGGCCAGGGTGAGGCGGACGCGGCACAAAACTGCCGGCCGAAACCCTAGCCCCCATTCTCACTCTCTCTCATTTTTCTCGCCTCACTCACCTCCCCTCTCCCGCGCGGAGCGAGCGCGGCGACGCCGGCGGGCCGCCGTGGTGCCATGGGGAGCAGCTCGCTGGCGCACGCGTGCGAGAAATCGCGTGCGGCACCGTCGAGCCCCTCCGCCGTGGCGCCCTTAAGGTGGGCGCGTCGCGCGTGGATCTCAGCCGCGACGACGGCGACTCGGCGACGAGCCGGCGCGACGACGAGGAGGCCCCGGAGGGGCCGTGCGCGTGCCATGGAGCCCCGCGCGGCGGATCTGAGGGCCGCGCGGCCCGGATCTGATGCACGGCGAGGTCGCGTCAGAAGCGACGAACTCGACGGCGACCGGGAAGCGGCGTAGCGACGACATCACGGCGCGAGGGCCGTGACGCGTGCAGTCTCCCGCGCGGCGGAGCTTATGCCGCGGGGCCGGTCTGAGGACCGCCGAGATGCGCGCGCACGGCTGATTTGATGCCGCGGCGCATCTCGTCGGTGGCCGGGGAGAGGGGTTCGTCGCCATCCGCGCGTGCAACAGCTAATGGCGCGGCGGGACCGACGGCGACACGCTGACGGTGTCTCGTCGCGTGAGCTCCTGTGGGCATAGCTGATGCCGCACGGCTGAACCCGGTCCCGGCGAGGCGTGCGCAAAACTGAGGCGCGTGCGCCATCTCGTCGGCGGCCGGTGGGTGGGAGCTGGCGACGTCCGTGCACGGCAACAAGGGCCACGACGGAGCACCATGAGGTAAGACCTCATCTCAACCTTATTCTCAGCTTAGATCAGACTTAGGGTTAGGGTTAAAACCCATGATCTTAGCTAATATCTGAAATTAATTGTGACATTGTAAGATGAATCATGATAACCCCGAAACCCTAACTTGCTTAATTAACACTGAAAAATGAACAATTAACTTAGATGCGCTAATGAACTTTGACTAATTTACTTAAAACAGTGCACTAATATGATGATCTTAGAACCAGGTACTGTTCGACTTAAAAGTGAACTAAAAACATGTACCAGATCATGTTGAAAAAATATCAGCGCATAGCTAGATCTATTAATTCTGAATAAAACTTGACGAAAACAGGACTTAAACTTAACTGAACACCTCTGTCTAGGGCTAAAACAAGCAATTGACTTAAACAGGAATAGATCTAGCACTTAAACCGAAACTTAAACTAGGGGATCAAATTGACTAGTTTATGGCAACTGATACCAATTGTTAGAACTAATAGATCATAAACTTAATGGGATCATCTAGTCAGATTATAGATCACGCCTAGAACACTTAAAATCAACACTTAAATCAACTTACCCGTCATGATCTCCTCTGCAGCAAGGTTTGATGAGCTGTAGAGGTTGAACTCGAAGTAGATGTCGATGTAGATCAGGCACCGAGCTTCCACGACTTCCAGCAGCGTTAGGGATCGGTAGGTTAGGGTTAGGTCTAACCCAGGGGCTTAATTCGTGATTAAGTCACGATCAGGGATAACAGGAGGTTTCCCTTTGCTTATATATGCTGCTGTAGGCGTGGGGCCGGGCCTTTAGATGGGCTAATTTCTGCCTCCCGATCAAGGCAGCTAATAGGGGCTTTTAGTTGGATTCTAATGGGCCTTTCGGTCCAATTGACAGAGGTCAATAATTCCAACACAACCAAAACTGGCTATTGGACTTATTACAGCTGAAGGCATCATGCCCAGCGAAGTTGTTGTTGCTTAATTACCTAGAGATACCTGGTCAGATCTGAATTTGTTTTGCCGAGTTTTCAGAATCATGATCGGTGCAACAAATATGGAATAAAACCTAACCAGATATATGTTGCCAATAATTTTCAGTTGAATGTCAGCCAAATCTTTGAAATTCTGGTTCAGTTAGCAGTCTTATGCAAATATGAGAGTAACGCATATTTAAATTGTTCACCTTGTACTTGAAATCTGAAAGAGAGAAGGATAACCTGTTCTGGTTATCTGGTTCATCTCTTTCCGCATAGTCAACTAAGAAACACTGTTCAAATCTTAAACCTACGAGAATCTTATGAGAAGATGGCAAAATGACGCAAAAAGTTCAACTGGAGTAGGTGGTACATACATCAAATCAAAATTGCTGACAGAATCCGTGAAACAAGTAGGTGGTATTTTTTTGAAGAATTGCTGAACTACAACGGTGTTGAATTCCCAAAAAAAAGAAAGAAAAGAAAAAGATTCTGCCATGTTGAACCTGAGCACTGCTTTTTAAGCTAGAGATAATTGTGGCACAAAGAATATATGACAGTCATATGTAGTGCTAGCAGTACGTGCCTTGAGATTAAATGTCAAAGCAGTACATGTTTCTTTCTTTTTCGCTGGTAGTCAAAGCACTACATATGACATCATATCTACCAGGACTTGTAAACATTATTAACCATTGCCATAATATTGAACCAATTTGTGATCTTCTGACAAACATAATTTCTGCACATACATTGTGCAGTGCCTGCAGTTTTGTGACATGAATTCAAAATGGCAGAGGGCATACATAGATTTGGATGAATTTGCGTGTACTGTGTAACTATTAGTATTAGGTGTCAAAATCATTTTAGTACAAGAAGGAATTAATATCGGCAATGCACTCCAGTAAAACACAAGGCACGTTTTTTTTAAAATAAAAATAACTAAGCTTCGCCCACCGTGTGGGGCTCGAACCCACGACCACAAGGTTAAGAGCCTTGCGCTCTACCGACTGAGCTAGACGGGCTTTGTTTGTTAAAATTTTATTGAATATTTGGTTACCATGTTTACATGAACCCGCTTTCTGTTTGAGAGGCATAAAACCTGCTTGTAATTTGAAAGGAAATATGAGATTCAAAACGGATGGATATGTATCTTCTCCCTTAAATTTCCAAGTTCTAGACAGACTTTTGCTCAAATGTAACATACTAGCAAAAATGCCCGTGCATTGCCACGGGCTGTCCGGAAAAAAAAATGGTAAAAAAAATAAATCTTAGCTTTTAAACAAAATTGTATTTGAACCGTTCAAGTAAATGTCCGAAAGTGGCTCATGAAAATTTTTTCTAAATAGTTAACGTTGAATCAGCCTTGTTAAGAAAATTTGGTGTCGGAACACAGAGCTGAAATCTGTTTTCCTCCAAAATCAAAGTTGTTTCTTGTTTTGTCCAGCTAGTGCCACACAAATTTTCACTTTTTTTAGCTCAGTAACATTGTTTTTCCATTCGTTCAAAGTCAGTCTATGAGGGAACAAAAATTGGTGGAGATGAAATGATAGGGCGGTTGGGTCCTGCTTGTCATCCTCCCTGCTGATTTTCCTCTTTTACACAAACTCGGGCACGCCCAATCCCTCTACTTAGGTGATGCACAAGGGAGTCTTAATTTCATGCTGGGGAGAAAGAAGGGGCCTTTATGACCTAGAGTTTATTGAGTTAGTAGAGCACATACTACAACAAGGACCCTTTGCAGTTCTGGTCATCTTCAAGATCGTGGCAAGCACGGAGAAAGTAGCAGAGCAAGTCTCCGTAGATGGAACAAGCTTTCAGAAGTACTTCATGCGCTAAAGAACTTTTGCCAATCTTAATAAGACCAGATGGCTGTTCAGAATAACAAGTTTTTTTTTTGAGACCAAGAGCACTTCCTCTTTCATTAATCAGCTAGATTACAGTTTTTTTCTCAAACCAGCTAGATTAAAGTCATCCTGCACATATTGTAGCAGGAAATTGGGGGTCTGGGCAACCCAGATGCCACAGTGGCTTCCTTGGCGCAAGCTTGTGCAACCGAGTTCGCCGAGTGCTTTACATATATCAAATCAAAAGAGTTAAAAGAAAGGTTAAACTCTTGGATTTCTGCAAGAATAGCTAACGAGCTGGTCCTCAAGAATGGATTTCCTTTTAAACAAAGCTGCCTTGAAGGCAGATATCTATGCATTTGATTCTTTTCCGGTTCATCTGCAATTAAAGATTTCTTCTCTTCAGTCCAGAGCAAGCAATGCCTCATAGCTTGTGTTCTGCAAGTAAGACGTCAATTTCAAGCTCAGGACACATACCACTCGTTAGATCCTACACAAGAATACCCTGGGCAGACACATGCTTCTGTAGCTCAATTAATTCTTGTTCTGCTTCAACAACCTCCTAAAAGGGAGAAAATATACAATTGGGAAATGGTTTTAACAGTAAAGAAGTGTGTGTAGACTGGAAAAAAAAATATGAGCACTTCTATATTAACGAAGAGAGCCAGCAGTCATTGTATAATTACCTGAGAAAAGCCAGATATTTTGACTGCATATTCCCACATAGGTTTTCAATAGCATCCTTCAACTCCACCAGTTCAGATCAAATTTCCTGATGCCCTGTAAGCAAAATAATCATGTTGTGGAGTACCATCACCATATGTGTGAATGTTTTGGCAACCACTGGAGTCCATAATCAAGTCCCAAAAGAAGTAGATGCAGGCAGTACTTAGCCCTTTATTCAGTCCCACTAAAGTAATTTCAAGTTTGGTCACATTTTAAAGTACTTCTGTCAGGCTGCATTTTCAGTTCCATTTATGCTAAGCAGGAATTTATATCATTCAGTAGTACGTCAATGGCATAACTGAAATAACATATTCAGTAGTACGGCTTCATACATTTATATAGAGTCTATGGCATAACTGAAATAACATATTTTATTTCTAGTGGGGCTTATACTCTAGGAACACTACCTAGCAGATGCAAACTGACACAAAATAGATACTGTCGACGATTACTGTGTTAAAGATAAAAAATAAGCTCTTCCAATAAGACTATAGCAACATATAGACAAAATCAATTTGGAACCTACTCGTCACAACCAATTAACCACCAAACATGACACATGTTCTTAATCTTATATGCATCTGAGCTCTGCTCAAATTAGTAACTAATAAAACAAATTAGTAGCAACACAAACCTAATTAGATCCTAATTACTGCTGCTGCTTCTCCTTCCATGGCAGCGGCAGCAATGCTGATGCCATCGCGTTGACGCGGCTTAGGACCTCGTCCCTGAACATCTTGAGTGCCCTGACAAATACCAGCAGCTCCCTCTCCTCCCCGAGGGAATCCCAATCCACCTCCCACCAATTCCACTTCTCCAGGGGAAGTAGGTGCGGAGGACAGGGTTGGCAGTGGGCGCCCGGAACACGTTGGGTTTGTTGGTTGTCAGAGATGCGGTGAGCTGACTGTAGAGCCCGAACTGAATTACTCTGGTTGTCCACTTGCAGGATGTACTGAAGCAACATGGACCTCTTACTAATGAGGTAACCCCTATATCATAATCAACAATGAAATTAGAGTTGCCAAAATAAACAATGAAATTAGAGTTGCCACAAAAAAAACAATGAAATTAGAGTATGTCACAATTAAAACATAACATATGCAAGTATGGTATATATCTGTTTAGAATGATTAAAAACTTGAACATGCATTCATTTCTTGATCTATGACTCCTCCCTTACCTTCAACGAAATTATTTTTCAGAAAACTACAACTCACACATTTCAGATGTTTGGTTACACAAGAGAGGGTAATTTGGTAGATTACCTTGTTTGGGTTACTGAAGGATTTTTCATCGATCACATTGCTCGATGTCGTAACAGTGTCAGTTGAACCCAGTGTGTTAACACTGGCCTGATGTCCACATGTGGAAATTGTGAGGCTCACAGGATCTGACCCAAAGTAATTAAGTTCCGTTGTGGGAAGCACTTTGCGATTTTGACATTCAAGAACATGACACAATGGCAAATGATTAGAAAATCAGCGCCTGATGGATCCAAGTATATTTTGGCAAGACAATGTAGAATCTGGAAAAACAGAATTTTATGATCATATTGTAATGTAGTAAAGAGCAATCTGATAGATTTATTATTCAGCTACCAATTCAGATGTCATGATTAAGCAGGACTTAAGTTGACATTAAAAACAACTTGCTCATATGCAAAAAGAGGACTGCACTTTCTTATTTTTTGTTTTTACATGTCTGTTCCACGGCATGAAGACTTCATTTCACACATGAGAGCAGAAGCATAATTTAGTTTCTGATTAACCAAATTAAAGGTTGCAGAAATTAATCAGCTCTGTAACAATAGTTTCTGATTAACCAAATTAAAGGGTGCAGAAAGTAATCAAGAAAAAATGTTTTCTTCATCAACGATTCTGAAAAAAAAAAGGTTCATGCACCCAATTCCCATTTAGAAGGCAACAAAATAGAAATGCCCCACTTTATTTACATGGTCTGCATAGACACGGGGAAAAAATACATGCTTCTATGTTTAGCCTACAAAGTTTCATTCCCTTTTTATTTTAGAAAATACAACCTTCTAGTTTCACAGTTCAGATAAACCGGGGACCCTTACTTCATGAACCCACATGCAAGAAAATTTCACAGTTTTAGTTACTATAAGAATAATGCTGAGTGACTTGTACACAAATAAAAGTTGTGGTATGTTATTTGTGCAAAATTATTCAACACATAATCAATCACAATCAACAATGCATTTGAATTTACCTCGCCCTTTCCCAGCCATGCTCCTGAATTTGGATCAACTGCAACTAACCCAATCACAATCAAATCTACCTTAATCCTTTCATCTAGGCCTAACGGTCTCCCATACTTGGCGGCACCAACAGAAGTGCACGCTTCAGGAATGTATCCAGCAGGTATCATTGAACACTCCAGAACTGAGAAAAATCCCGTCCTTAGCCGAGGCTGTGGCCTCAGTAGATTTTTATCACTTGGACGACACAAGTAACAGCATTTATAAAAGCAGTAGGAGCAAGAAAGGGTCAAGACAATTTATTTGCAACCTAGATAAAAAGTTCAACAATGATTTTTACAACATAGTGACCTCACAAATGTAAAAGTTAGTTCCCTAATGACTAATGTTGCAGCACAAAACAACACAAAGAGAGATCAACAGGAGGTAAATGTATAGACCATTAGCAGGATACAGAACCATGTATTGACATAAGAAGCAGTGAGCAAGAATCAGCGTTATCAAGCTGCATCAACAGAAGCTTAACAATACTGTCAGATTCTTGTTTAAGAAAACAAGGGCAAAACTGAAAGCCAACATAAAAGCAGGTGCATGTGTTTCATGTGTCTTAAGGGGAAGTTTACGCGTACAATCTAATATACGTTTGAGTAGTCATAATAGTTGCAGTCATAGCTAACTGACCTGACAATTTTAAGAATCGAACTAACACATTGCGCATTCTGAAACAGGTCCAGCCTCCCCAACTGGTGACAGTTTGAAACACTTCCGACACCAGTGCAGAAATACAGGTGCAATTGTTTGAATAGTATATGATCAAGGATCACATGTACATGCGCCTTGGAGCACAGCAAAACAATTTAGAGGTGAATACCAAGGATCATTTTTTTTATTTTGCCACGCGCCATATCTTACAAAATTTATGCTAAAGCACGCGTTCACAATAGCAAACTGCTTGGCAGTGGAATGGCTACAGCTCTGCTCCGAAATACATCACGTTGCCATAACAGTCTGAGTTTTAGCGGCACGTTTCCGCAGCAAATTAAAATTAACAAACCAAATTGTGAGTTTGCGTGCTGTAAGATTATAATTACCACATCACAAGAGCCTATCTGCACCTGCACGTTCGCTGGGGAAAAATAGCGTAGCTGCAGGAGAGCAACGGCTGACGAATATGTGGCTTGGATTGATTTATGCGGGAAGCTGGCGAAATCTAAAAAGCAGACGGTAAAGGGCG